AGTCCAGTTATTCTAAAACAATTGACTTGCAAGAAATTTTAATTCCTGAAATTTATATTTTTTTTGTTGGAACTAGAAAATTCACCATATGATAGAATTAGCTGGAATAATTATTCTTTTTTTCCCCCTAAAATATTTTCAGTGGCTTATGAAAACTGGCCTCTCAGGCAGCCCAGGTGGCGCAGCGGTTTAGCTCCGCCTTCAGCCCGGGGCATGATCCTGGGGACCCCGGATCAAGTCCCGCATCGGGCTACCTACAGGGAGCCTGCTTCTCCCTCTGCCTGTGTCTCTGCCTCTCTCTCTCTCTATGTATTCTCATGAATGACTAAATAAAATCTTTTTTTTTTTTTAAAAAAAGAAAGAAAACTGGGCTCTCACAGAGTTGGTGGTGTAGGGGCCCACATGGCATCAGTGGCTGGTGATACCAGTGGCTTCTTTGCATGTCAGCTCAGAGTGGTGTTAACACAGTGCTTAGACAAACTTATATTGAACATATGTCAAAGTTTATTTATTCATTTAATGAGGTAATTAGGAGATAAAGTATGCCAGTTTAAACTGACAGGAGTTTAGGCCTGACTGCTGTTGTACCTCCCATGATCATAAAAACCACAGTTTTATCTGGGATAAGGTTGAGTTTGTGATATGAATGTTCTGGGCCCTAGTCTGACATAACCCATTAATCAGAAATAACAAATAATGTATCTGCAAAGCAAATGATAAGCAGCTTGATCTATGGTTATTAATTAGATGTGCCAAGAAACAGGGTTTTATGCACTCACAAGGAACCATGCACCCGGATGCCAGATAGGGGTCAAACAGAAGTCAGCTAGCAGAAGCTTTGAGTCCTGTTTTTTCTCAAGGAAAACTGTCCAGCGTGCCATTAAAGATGCTGAACATATGGTTTATGTAGTTCTTATTTTGGGGACAAAATTTATCTTTCACAGTGGGGAGAGGTGTTCCATGGGAAGGAACAGCCTATCAGAGGACACAGAGGACATGTTTGAAGACTGGGAAGGTTGAAACAAGGAGAGAGCTCCCTGTGCACTTGGATGTCTGGCCACGTTCATGGCCAGCCTTAGAGCCCTGGAACAGTGGTAGCTCTGAAACGGCCCTTGGAGAACATCACAACCTGTGGTTTTCTGACTGTGTTTTGAGGAACCCAAGGGGCCAAGGAAAGCTGAACAGCTGTGCTGTACCAAGCAAATGGGTTGTGCTAAGCAAGGACACTAGAATAATACCTGGGAAAGTTACTTTAGTTTTCTATGTTATAGTTTAGTATTGTGTTTAGTTCGAATTATATGTGTGAAGGGGGTGAACACCCAAATCTCTAGTGCTTAGGGCCTCTAAGGATATTTATCCAGCCTCACTGGCTGGGACCCCAAAATTCCTCTTTTGGTTCCTCCCTGGCATGCTAGAGCAGCCCTGCTTTTATCTGTTTTTATGTTCCAGGTTTTAAATAATGCCATGTGCAAAAGAGTACAATCTAGAGTATGGGTTACAAAAAAAGTTTCATTTATTCCTCTACTTGTTCTTTTTGTGTTGCTTGGGCAAGTGGCTTGATCGGATTTATGTCTTTGAATGATTATTCTGGAAGAAAGTGGAGTTAAAGGTGGGGAAAGACCTCAGTATCTCAGTTTTGCCATCTGTGAAATAAGGCTGGCTGTGGCTTCTGTGATTCGTGATTATGAATGAGCCTCGGAGCCTGAGTTCCTGTAAATGACAGGTTTTCCATATGAAAGTCGGCCAGGGAAATTATTTCTGGCATTTGGAGTCACGGAAACTGTTTGATGTTAATGGGTTTACCAGAAAGGGCTTTCGTGGGGTTCTTTTGGCGCAGGGCAGGCTAGCTGTTGATGTAATCAGGAGACCACAAAGAATGATTTCTGCTGCCTCTGTCCCTTCCCTAACAGTGTATGTCTCCTGTGACTCATGCTTCTGTGTCTTGGAGTTGGAAGTAAGTGACCACATTTTTAAGGCTGAGGCAGGGCCAGCCTGTGCTTCCCCCTCCTCGGCAGGCCCCAGCCTGATAATCCCGGGTCTCCTAGAGAGCCTAGCCAGAGGCTTCTCCTTCATCCTGGACCTTGCCCGGGTCTGACCAGACTGGCTACAGGGCACGTAGGAGTCAGTTCCTAAATCACAGTGCTGGAGAGAGTCATAGCAGCCTTAGAGATCCATCGGTCCAGGGGCCTCCAAGCCCGGCTGCATATTGGGTCCGTATTGGCCTCCTCCTGTCCCCTCTTGAGTCTAATTCAATAAGTCTGTAATAGGACCCAGAAATTAATGGTTTTTTAATATTGTCCTAAGGTGGTCCTCCCCCTTGGCACAGTATAGAACATTTGGTGACCACTGATCTAGGGTCATACTTGAATTTTATTCAACCGTTTCCCCCTCAATCCAGTTGACTTAAGAAAATTAAATATAGGAACACCTGGGTGGCTCAGTGGTTGAGCGTCTGCCTTCTACTCAGGTGGTGATCCCAGAGTCCTGGAATTGAGTTCGGCATCAGGCTCCCTGCGGGGAGACTGCTTCTCCCTCTGCCTGTGTCTCTGCCTCTCTCTGTGTGTCTCTCATGAATAAATAAAATCTTAAAAAAAAAAGGAAAATTAAATGTAAGACATGCTCATGTTTAGAAAATTCAAGCAGCATAAAGACATGAAGAATGAAAACCAAAAGCTTCTCCCAGTCTGGCCCCCAGGTAATCACTGTTTGACACTTTCTTTGAAAAGATTCTGCTCATAAATGATTTTACATTTATGTATCGCCACCTATCTGTCTACTTAATTCTACAAAATCTGAGCCAGAGGAATAATCCTATACACATTATTCTGTACTGTACTTTTTTTTTCCCACTTAAGATATTCAGAACTCCACCATAGATCATTATTCTTTTTAATACTTACTATTAAAGAAATTAATATTTGTAACACCCTTGCAACAATGCATGGTGAGTAGCACGCACTGTTATGTTTGTTAAATGAGCGAATGCAGGCTGCTGCATGGTACACCAATATACAGATATACTCTATCTTACTATTATGGACATTTGTTGTGTTGGTTGCTATAACAAATGATGCAGAAATGAATATCCCTGTGTGTACATCCCAAAGGGGACTTTGCCTTGGAAATGGCAATCAGCACCTTCCTTAGCAGGGCAACAGTGGGCACGGAGTCAAAGGCATTGGGAAGAAAAAGTTACTAATTAGGAAAAAGTAAGAAATTGAATTGGGATTGGAAATTTTGTCTGGGACCTAGATCTAGAAATCTAGATCTCAGATCTAGAATAAACCACAGGAGAGTGTTTGTCCTAGTCTTGTGACCTCTGAGGAGGGAATATATTGTCTATGGGTCCCAAGTTGTACACTGAGCCCTGGGGAGGCTCAGTGAACTCTTTGGGAAAGGGTGTGAATGGGGGCTGCAGGATCTTTAAAATGTTTGACAGGGATGATATTTGACATCCCCCAGACACTGTGCAAACTCCGAGCTCAAGAAAGTTTACAGTTTAATGTTCGCCTTACTACATTCCCTTTGGGATGTTCTGTTTCACGAAGCCCAGTTTTTGGTGGTTGTCATGATACAGCAAGCAGTGAGCACAAACGGGAGCATGGGACGGGCGGTGGGTGGTGGTATTGTCGACTCTGACTCCAGAGTCTGAGAAGTCGTACAGTGCCAAACCATTGCCCACACCCCATTGGTAAGTGACTGGTGAGGAGTGAAGGAAAGTGTTTTCTTCTTTCAATTTGTGTGTATGATGTCTCTCCCCCCCCCCCCAACAGCTACTAGTCTGTTAGGACATAAATGCTAATTGAGTTGTTTGAAGCTAACTATGTAATCAGTGAAACTGCTAGATATTTCTTTGGGCCCGCAGAGCTGTGAAAAAATTACTGAGACACGAAGGGTGCCGTGAATTGAAAAAGTCAGGGAATAACTGATTTCCATCTTATTCATCAGAACTCTTTTAGCTGTTGAGTGAGAGAAGCCAAACTGACTCAGGCTTAAAAGCAGGAAATTATTCACTTCTGTGTCTGGGGTGGCTGGGATTGCAGATGGCGTCAGACTGCATGGGGTTCGGGTCCTGAAAGCTCCATTTCTCTTTCCATCTCTAAGATGGGCTATCTAAGCGTGGGTGAGACAGCTCCCCTGCCCATCCTTTCCAGACTCAACATCCTCTTGGTTTAGCAGAGCCCAGCAGAAGGAATCCTCTTTCCCAATAGCTTGTGCATAAGAGCCCTGGGCGGACTTTGGCTGACCTGGCCTAGGTCACTTGCCCAGCCCTGAATGGAGGTTATGGAGATTTGTGATGGCCAAGCCTAGGTGCCATATCTACCTCTGTGCTCAGGTGAGCACCCTCACTAAACCACATGGTAGGTTCTCCACAGAAAAAGCAGGTTTTGTTACCAGGAGAATGGGAGAAGGGACACAGGACCAAAACCAGTTGATTTTCCATTTTAACAGATGAGGGGCCAGACTGGTAATGTGATAATTTACAAATTAAACATGGTGGCTCTGGAGTCCCACCCACCTGGCTTCACTTCCTTGGGCACATTTACTACATCTGTGAAGGCTTTAGAGTCTCCATCTATAAAATGGAAATAATTGAAGATAAAATCCAATATATAAAAGAAGGCTGGGGCACCTGAGTGGGTCAGTCAGTACAGTGTCTGCCTTCAGCTCAGGTCATGATCCTGTGGTCCTGGGATCGAGTCCTTCCTAGGCTTTCTGCTCAGCAGAGTCTGCTTCTCCTTCTCCCTCTGCCCCTCCCCCCTGCTTGTGCTCTCTCTCAAATAAATAAATAAAATCTTAAAAAAAAAGTAATAAAAAAGCTGACAGTAATAGTCTCCACCTTATGGAGCTGGTGGTGGGGCTTAGCACACTACCCCCCTGGGTAAGTGAGCCCATTATTGGTCAGGTAACCTTAAGAGCACCCAGCTGGTAAATGACCCAAGCCTCTGAGTCCTGGAGAGGGTACAGAATAGTGACTTCCTCTCTCCTGTCTGTCACAGAGTGAAGCAGCATGGATGCCGTCAGCCAGGTCCCCATGGAAGCCGCACTCCCCAAGCACATCCTGGATATCTGGGTCATTGTCCTCATCATCCTGGCCACCATTGTCATCATGACCTCCTTGTTGCTGTGCCCAGCCACCGCGGTCATTATCTACCGCATGCGGACTCATCCTGTCCTCAACGGGGCTGTCTGAAATCAGTGTCCCAAGAGGGGCCGGGGAGAAACATGGATAGTATCTCCTCCCCCAGCCTCTTCCTTCTCAGAAAAGCAGCAGGAGGGGCTTTGGAGTGTGGACTCTGGAGCTTGATGTGTGAGAGGAGACCGGAGTTCTTGTTTGGATTTTGCCACCGGCCAGCTGTGTGAGTTGGGTCAAGGGACCTAACTCTGTGGGTTCCAGGTTCCCACATGGGGATCATGGGGGATCTAAATGGGGATCATGGTCCTGCCCTTCCTACCTCAGAGGGTTGTAAGAACCAATGCCTTGGGTGGAGGTTAAAGCTGTTTGTGGCTATGAATGGTAAAGCCACCACAGATACACGGGGGTTATAATTGCTGACAATGCCCTTCAGGGTGGTGACGAAGACACTGGGGGCAGAGCAGCCTTTGCCAGTGCCCCTCAGGTGGAACCAAGCAAAGATACCCTGTCTGCATTCCAAGGGGCCAGCAGGGTTTTGGCTCAAAGTCATTTTCTCTGTGGTGCCACTCCCTCAAGTTAACCTAATTTGGAGGGAACTGAGTGTGGCAGGAGGAGGGAGATGGGTAGAACTTCCTAGGACCTTCCTGTGCCAGAATGTCTACCCCTGTAACAGTCTAGAGGATGGCACTGCCATTTCTTGGCAAGGCCGAGGGACCTGAGGTGATGGGCTTCTTTCTGCATTGGAGTCTCCTCACTTTGACACTCAAGCTATGTGTCACAACACAGGGTGGCTGAGTTCCCTGGATGGCTTTCAGGATCTCCAGCCCCCACCAACTTGTGTGCCTCACACTCAAGAAGCTGTGTCCCCTCACCCCAGCACCTGCTCTAACCAGCTCCGTGGTGTCAAGTGTACGCCCTTCATCCCCTCCCACCAGCACTGCAGCCAGTCTAAGCTACAGATTTTAAGAGATGTTCCCAGGACTTTTGGAACTCACTCAAGACAGCGATGATTATTTTAGATGCTATGATCTATATTTATAGAGAGATTTCTGGACCACTCAAGCTCTTTGACCAAAATCAGGAACATCTTGGGATTTATTAAATTATGTAAGAAGATATAGCACAGATATCAGAATATTGTGTGGAAGTGATGCTGTTACTTTGGTCTGATTTCATTGATGTATGCGACCAGTTTCCAATAAAGTGCTAGAATGACCATGTCTGAGGTCTTTCTTTATCAAGCACTTATAATAAGCTCAGGAACTTGGGTACAAGGATTCCACTGAATTTATGGGCCTTAGAGACAGTATGAATGTAAGAACTGAAAGGGAAAGAGAGGAATCCAGTTGACTTCCAAGGTTCCAGCTTTGGCAAGTGGGTATTTGTGGTTTACTTAGACATAGGATGCAAGGAGAAAAACGAATTTGGTGGGTAAGTGATGAATTTGGTGTCAGACACATCGTGTTTGAGGTGCTCGTGATCTTTAGGCAGACACTTTCACGATGCAACTGGAAACCTAGGTCTGTTCTTTGAGAAAGATTTTGTGGCTGGAGTTACGCTTTGGGGGATTATCTGCATATGGTAGCTACGCCCCGCAAGGGGACAGGACCACCCAGGCAGAGTACATGGACCGGGGGCAGAGCTAAATGCAGAACTTGGCAGACACTACATAGGAGTGGAAGGGGGGCGGGGGAAAGATAAAGCAAGGAGATTGTAAAGATCATGTGCTTAGAGGTGCTATGAGGGGGATGACATCTTATTGTGTGGGTTGAGGAATGAGACAGAGGTAAGGAGGTGGAGACAGAATGGACAACTCTCCAGGAATGGGGCTGTTGTACAGAGGTAAGGGAGGAGGGTTTGGGAAGAATGGTCAAGGGGAATAACTTTATGTGATAAGATTTGGATTGGTTTGCTCAGCATCTATCCCAATCTTTGCTTTGCTTTTCCCTTTTCCCTATGCCTTCCTAGGTGACAGAGGCTAGCAAGTGAAAACCTACATTAAACATGAACACTACATTTCCCTAACTAAACTGTAGCCAGAGATTCAGACGTGATTTAGGTTTGCTAATCAGATGCACACATGTGAGGCTTCCGTTTGGGACCTAGTTAGATTAGGACAGAGACTGCAGGGTGTGAAGCATCCACGGTCTAGTGGTCGGTCCATAGCTATGGGCATAAGACAGAGCCAAGATTTCTGCGTTTTTAAAGCAGTGCCCTGTCCTTTGAGAATTGTAGTACTGAAGTATCTGGGAACTTTGTTTCACTGGGGCAGCTGTCTAGAACTTAAACCTCCTGATTACTTGCTGGAGGAAAACTTGAGATATTTGTAATTGATAAGCATGGCATCAGTCTTGTGCAATTGGAGCCTATGAAAAACAGTACCCTGAGAATTGCTGGATGTGGGGTGTAGGTTCTGTGTGTGCCACCTAGCCTTTCTGAATCTGATTCCAGGTCTGTAAAGCGGAAGGTATCAGAATTGAGAAAGAGAATGAGAAAATCATTCTAGGATTTTAGGGTGGAGTGTAAATAAAGACTTTTAGGCAGTCCACCAGATGGCGATACAGCTCTTTTTTTTTTTTTTCTTCCTCAAGTGAAGTAGCTCACAGTTCCCAGCCAATACTATCATTCCTAGCGCTCAACATTTTATTTTTCCAGTGCTGGTTTCAGCAACCCTGAAGGTAACTTAGGATCATCCAATCCAACTTCCCCTATAATAAAGGAATCTCCCTCTCTAATGGTAGGGTTGCCATGTGTTGCCTCCTCAGTATTTCCCAGTGTTCTTGACAACCTGCAACAGATTCACCCAGGAGCATTTATTTACAAATGCAGCTCCCAGAGTCCTGGTTCACATTTATGAGAATCCCTTGGAAAAGGTCTTGCATATCTGTTTTGTAACAAAAAGCTACCTGGGTGATCAGTGAACAAGTTAAACGTGGAGAACCACATGGTTGGTGGAAAGGAATTCACTTCTTGCTGAAACCACTCCTTGATAACCCTTGTATTAAAATTCTTCCTTGAGAAGGGAGAAGAAATGGGTAGGAAATATCAAAAAGGGAGACAGAACATAAAGACTCCTAACTCTGGGAAACCAACTAGGGGTGGTGGAAGGGGAGGAGGGCGGGGGTGGGGGTGAATGGGTGACGGGCACTGAGCAGGGCACTTGACGGGATGAGCACTGGGTGTTAATCTGTAGGTTGGCAAATTGAACACCAATAAAAATTGAATTTATTATTAAAAAAAATATAAAATAATAATAAAATAAAATTCTTCCTTGAGTAAGAGAGAAGTCAGGCCTTAAGATGCCCCCTTGGGGGCCACCCTGAAGAGATCAACTTCCTTTTCCTTGGAACTTCTGAGCATTTTTTTTAAAAAGATACATTATTTTAGAGACAGTGGGGCAGGGAAGGGCAGAGGGAGAGAGAGAGAGAATCTCAAGCAGACTCCTGCTTTACGTGCAGAGCCTACCATGGGGCTCAGTCTTACAACTCTGAGATCATGACCTGAGCCAAAATCAAGAGTCAGTCGACCTAGCCACCCAGGCGCCCCACTTCTGAGCATGAAGATCACTGTCATGAGTTACCTCATCCTACCATCTTGCCTGAGTGGGAAATTCACACTTTGCATTACATGGTGGCTGTCATCCTCATTCCCTCCTTTGGCAGCAGAGCAAGGGCCTGAACAATCTTGGCTTCACTGTATGTTGGCTTTCTGATTGTGGGCAAGGTAACAAACTCTTTGAGTCTTAATTTCCTCATCTGTAAAATAGACACAGGAGTAACTCTAGCTACCTCACAGGATTGTTACAAGTATTATATGTGGTCACAGTGGCAAGGTAGGTGGTAAAATACAGCAAATGCTCAATACCTATGATCTATTGCTAGTGAGTCCTAGTTTCTTCATCTGTAAAATGGTGATGACAGTTACTTCTGAGTGTGGAGGGGATTAAACGAGATAGAAAAGAAAAGAATTTGCCCAGTGCTTGGCACATGGAAGTCTCTCAGTAATGGTTAACTATAAGATGGCCAATAATACAAAAATACCAAAGGCCTAATGGGGTTGGATTCTTAAATTATCAAAGTATTGAGATTGGCAGAAAACTTCCCCATTGACATCCAGTAAGACTGGCACTAAATTCACAGAGGGCCTTAAACAAGTGTGAAAATCATACCTCTTCTATATTAATCTCCCTTCAGGAATTATTTCATAATTTATTCACCATTATTTAATAAAACACCAAGTTTTCCACTTCTAAGTTTTAATCCTTCACAGAAGTTGCTTTCTATACTTTTAAATGTCAAAAAAAATTTTAAGCCTTTTGGTAAGATAAAACTTTCATCAGGTCTTTATATGATTCTTGCTAAAGAGAGAATGGAAAGAAGATTGTGATGTGAAGTGGTGATAATAATAAAATGTTGATTAAAAATAGATCTGCCTATGACCCAGCAATTGCACTGTTGGGGATTTACCCCAAAGATGCAGATGCAGTGAAACGCCGGGACACCTGCCCCCCCATGTCTATAGTAGCAATGTCCACAGTAGCCAAACTGTGGAAGGAGCCTTGGTGTCCATCGAAAGATGAATGGATAAAGAAGCTGTGGTCTATGTATACAATGGAATATTCCTCAGCCATTAGAAACGACAAATACCCGCCATTTGCTTCGACATGGACGGAACTGGAGGGTATTATGCTGAGTGAAGTAAGTCAATCGGAGAAGGACAAACATTATATGGTCTCATTCATTTGGGGAATATAAATAATAGTGAAAGGGAATAGAGGGGAAGGGAGAAGAAATGGGTAGGAAATATCAGAAAGGGAGACAGAACATGAGAGACTCCTAACTCTGGGAAACGAACTAGGGGTGGTGGAAGGGGAGGAGGGGGATCCCTGGGTGGCGCAGCGGTTTGGCGCCTGCCTTTGGCCCAGGGCACGATCCTGGAGACCCGGGATCGAATCCCACGTCGGGCTCCCGGTATATGGAGCCTGCTTCTCCCTCTGCCTATGTCTCTGCCTCTCTCTCTCTCTCTCTCTCTCTCTCTCTCTGTGTGTGTGACTATCATAAATTAAAAAAAAAAAAAGGAAGGGGAGGAGGGCGGGGGGTGGGGGTGAATGGGTGACGGGCACTGAGCGGGGCACTTGACGGGATGAGCCCTGGGTGTGATTCTGTATGTTGGCAAATGGAACACCAATAAAAAATAAATTTATTATTTAAAAAAAAGAGAGATGAAAAAAATAAATAAAATTTTGAAATCCTTAATTCTCAAAGTTGAAGCAACTTCTAAATTGTTCAAATCACACAAAGAATTTAACTGAAGTGTATGAAAGGCTCTTCAATTCCCATGGAGATTTACATGCTAAGAAAAGGTTTCTCGGACACCTGGGTGGCTCAGTTAAGCAGCTGCCTTTGGCTCAGGTCATGTTCCCAGGGCCCTGTGTGTCAGGCTCCCTGCTCAGTGGGGAGTCTGTTTCTCCCTCTCCCTCTTCCTACCCCCTACTCATGCCTTCTCTCTTGCTCACTCTATATGAAATAAAATCTTTGAAAAAGAAAAGTTTCTGTGTTAGGTTTCTAATAACATTATTTGTCCAAATCCAAAAAGTTATTATATATATTTAAATTTTGACAGCATTATACAGTGAACTGTTTATATGTACAAATTTCCGGTCAAGCAGACTGAATTCCATCTGGCTCCACCAGCATGTTCTGTTGAAAACAGCTGTCTGGGTCTTGCTGCCCTCATTTGTAAAAGTGGAGATCATGCTTATCTCTGCGGTGCCGCTGAGATTAAGGAAGACACCATATCTAAAATATTTACAGAGACCCTGGTTTGCAGTAAGTACTCAGTGTTTATATGTTACCTAAAAATGGGGGAGGATCATTAGCTCTGTCTTAATACAGATACGGGTAGGCAAGTCTGCTGGATCTGTCTTGCTGGATTGGTTTCACCCAAATACCTGAGGAAACATTCCGAGGGCCCCTGCACGAAAGCAGTGAGAGTGAAAGACACCAGCAGGGGGTTTGCGAATTCAGTTCTGACACTATCCACCCAGAGAAAGAGCATCAGATCCCACAGGTAAAGGGTTCAGTTCCATAGCACTGCTCTCCACGTCTCAGGCCTGTCCCAAGCCCAGGTTGTTACCTGTGCTTCTGACCTATAGCTACATATTGGAGGCTCCAAAAGCCCCTCTCCACCTCAGGGCACAAAGGTCAAGTCCAGGTTGT